AAACGGAGCTACACGTGTTCTGCTGAACGTAAAATTTACTATATAATCCACTTGTAAACAGAGACAACACATGCGGGTATCACGTCCTCTTAAACGCGATTTCGTGAGCTCATAGTTATTGATATATGTTACCTATATAAAAATATAGTCATACGGGCGACTAAATGTCACATTGTTACAAATTTACAATGTTATCTGGTTATCTCTATATTATAAATTATTATTTATTATTTTATTAGTACATACTTAATGTACTTAATTAATATAATATATTAGTAGTTATTTATAAAAATAATTACAAAAATATCTTCTTTWTTTTCCAACAATATTTTCTAATATTCTACAAATTTTAAATCGACGAACATACAGTTATAGACTAATATATTCTATATTATTCTAGATTAAACGAAAATTCAAAATTAACTCTATTGATAATATTAAAAAAGTACAAGTTGATTTGAAGTTAACGTAGATAAAATTAAGTTAACTGTTAAGTTAATGTGAAGTTAATTAAAACAGCGAACTAGTTAGTTAAGTTAATAAGTTAAAATTTAGTAATATAAGTAACTTTTAACGTATTAACTCGTTAATGCCCAGCCTTGTCAGAATACTTAGAGTTTAGACTTATGTAAATTGCAATGTATTAATACACAATTTACACCGTAAAAATGTATGTTTATACTTTATTGTGACATGAAGATAATTGTAAAAGATTAACGTTTGCAGAATTACGAAAATTAATCTAAATCTGTAAGAAACAAAAAATTATTTTCAAATCAATTGAAACGAAAATGTGAAGATTAATTAGAAAGATTGAAACAAAAAATTATCAACAAAGAAATTCAAAAAAATCCTGTACAGTTTAAATCCTTGTTTAAATTATTTAATGGTAGGTACTGTCGTAATGATATAAATAATATATATAGGTACCTATCAGTTTTTGTACCGGTGTAACCGCGAATATTTACCTCAGTGATATTTTACCTCGCTAAGGTAAAATATCACTAGCGATTATTTATCCCCCGTAAAATATCACTAGTGATTATTTGCCCCCGGGTAAAATTTCACTAGGTTAATTTTACCCCTGCACAGGTAAAATTTCACTAGTTATKATTTACCCCGATAAAATTTTACCAGCGATATTTTCACTAACGATTATTTACCTCAGGGTAAAAATCCACTAGATTTAATAAAATATTATTTATTTGAAAATAATAAGTTTGGTTTAGGTATTTATTATGTGTTTAAATTCTTCATCTAACATCGCCCTCTTTATAGCGGACAAATGTTTTGGTGACCAAGAGTGTAAGGTATTTTTAGAGGTTTCAATGAAAAGGTTTTACTTTAAATGTAATAAAATGTCTCATTCCCACCCAAAAACCATTTATTTAGGCCCATTATCATTATAAATGTACTAAATATATGGGTGTATTTATTATTTTTGTTATATCATATCATTATGTAGATATATGTACCTAGACATAATATTATCATTTATTACAAAATACACATGGACACTGTCTTGATTGAAATTMTGAATAATACGAAAATCAGCTATTATAGTAAACCTATAAGACAATAACACATAATGTTATCATTTGACAAGTTGACATTCGGGT